TTATTGAAAATCATTAATGAAAACTGAGTCATCACGACACTAAAAATTATCAATAAAAATTAATCATCACAATGTTTCTTTTCCCAAGTTCATACATGGAAGTCAATACCAAGTTCTTTTCTTAAAAGATTATATCATAACCTATTTCATGGACATCAACCACATCACAATTCATTTCCAAGATCATATAGAGCAAAATTAACATATAATGTCTTCAATCTATTACAATTTCACCTAATCGTCGAATATTGTTAAGGAGAATCTATTAATTCCCATTACATTCATTAAGGCCCTCTTTTTATTTTCTTCCAAGATAGTCGAAGCCTATGTCTTTTTCTCTAAAAACCAGGCTTTTTTGTTTTTCAATATGATATCATCAAATTCTCATATATTATAACATGACATAATATGTTTTATGCATTTCAATTTATAAAGTTCTAGTGGACATTGTGAAACTATGAAAATTTATAATTTAAATATGCATATGATTAAGTTTAAACTCTATAACACCCTAACAAAAGACTTTAACATGATAAATTGAATAATGAGAAATAAAATAGAAATAATGGTAAATTGTAAACCCCCAATTAAATTTTATGATGTTTATAAAATTATTGATAATTTAAAATCGATAATGAAATGGGTTAGTTAAAATAAAATAAAATAAAATGGAATGGAATGGTATTGAATTATTAGAAAATAAAATTTATAGAGAGATTTTTCACATGGTATTTTAAAAGCGAACTGAGAAAAGATATTTGGTTGAACAAAAAAAGTACCCAAACTTGACATAAAGGTGTTTTAGTAAATATGTATACATTTACTATATAAATATCAAAATTATGTAGAAAATACCTAGGATGACTAAATAAATAAAGAGAGAGAGAGAGTATCTTAAAAACAAAAACTCAAATAGCTACACCTTCATATTTCACTGTTAGATTAGGCTAGTTTTTGGATATATTATGCTGCTCACCACCCTCTAACGTGTGACCATTGGGATCAGAAGGCTCTAGTTTTGTGTGAGAGATATAACCCTCATAACATTTCAAGAAAAACCTGTCTATATGTCAGTCACGATTGCTGGTGGTTCCTCTTTCATCCATCAATGGATCCTGCTCAAGTTTAGATATATTGGTCATATTGATGAGCTCTTTATTCTGAACAGTGGAGATCGAGATTAGAGGCTCCAACGAGAATTTATTCATCGGTGAATAATATATTGTTAATTAGCAAAATTATGCAGAAAATACCTAGGATGACCGAATATGTGTGTGTGTGTGTGAGAGTACCTTAAGAGTAGAAACTCAAATGACCATATCTTCCTATTTCACCATTGGCTTGGGCTGGGTTTTGGGTATATTATGCTCCTTACCACCCTCTAACATCTAACCACTAGGATCTGAAGGATCTAGTTTTATGTGAGAGATATAACCCTTATAACATTTCAAGAAAAACCTGCTTGCAGGTCAGTCAAGGTCGCTGGTGGTTTCCTCCTTCATCCACCGTTGGTCCTACTCAAGTTTGGATATATTAGTCATATTGATGAGCTCTTCATTCTGAACAATGAAGATCAAGATTAGAGACTCTAATAGAAATTTATTCGTCGATAAGCAGTATATTATCAATTTTCAGGTCAGTTTGGTTTTATTTCAATCTAATAAGATCTATTTGTAACATGCTCTAATTTTTTGGTATATGTCTCATGAATGATGGTTAACGTTATTGTTTGGATTTCATGAGTTTTGATTGAGTTAGGAGAAATTTTAACCTTACTGAAACTTTTGTTTAAATTAAGTTAGCAAGAATGAAATAAATGGAAAAGTAAGGTGGCTTGATTTGTGTTTAACCACCAAAAGCATGCTAATTATGATTTAAATTAAAGAAAATCCTTGGTGTTTTTTCTTAGGCATGTTTAGCTAGATTATTGATATTAAGTGAGATATTGGTTGTCCAATCCATGTACTGAGACTAAACAGTTTGGTCATCCACCTTTTAATTGAGATTAGGGCACCCAAATAATAAAATTTAAGATTGGATTCTCATAAAGGTTGTAGGTATAGATGTTACCCAAATAATAAAATTTAAGATTGGATTCTTATAAAGGTTGTAGGTAACTCTTTTAAACAAAACTAACCTTGTGTAATTTGGAGTGATATAACTCAAGATATGGATTGAAAATGAAGATGGGTCTAACTATCTTGTAATGGACATATTGTGTTAAGTGCTACTATAAAGGATAATTTCAAGGATTTTAAGGGTAAAATTAAATTTTCTATCTTTCAGTAAAATCGTAAAATCATGTCTTACCTTTTCAATATATTCTTTTAATATTTTATCTTGGATAACCTCTTCTTATTTTATTTTTTTGTTTGTTAGTTGATACTTTTTAAAATGATTAAACATTTATCTAAATGTTGATGAAGTTATTTTGATATTGCAATTATTCATGAGAATTCTTTATTAATTGAAGGGAGGAAGTTTACTAAAAAAAAGTTAAACTTCCAATATGGGACTAACAATACTGTAATAGAGATATTTACTTAATGCATATTAAATAATTGTTGAAACATCTAAATAAGATGAGAATAGGGTGGCCAATTTCTATTGCAGGAAGGTAATTTATTTTATAGTTTATGAAAAGTACATGTAGTTTAGTTTGAGAAAGAAAATATGTTATTTATTAAAAAAATTTATACCTGCTAACATTTACCATTGAAAAATAAAGTATATAAGTAATTGCAATAATAAAGTATATCAATGTAAATCTCGCAGACATCATTAGCTAATATTAAAGAATTTAATAAAAAGTATAGCCTTTAATAGAATATAGTGGATAAGTAGGATCCATATAGTTAATGTAAGATCTTGAACAAAAAGAAAAATTTTCTATAACATGTGTTTCATATCTTACTTTTTATGATTTTATATTTTTCTTGTTAAAATTGATTATTTATAGTTATTTTTTTTTAAAGAAGTTATAGATTTTCTCTTAAGGCTTTTTCATTTATGTGGTGTTATTGTTTACTCCATGGATGAGCACATGCAATATATATATATATATAGTTTTTATATTTTATATTTAATTTATTTGTTATATAAAAAAAAAGAGATAACATGTAAAGTACTGATTTTTTATAGGTATACTCCACTTATTTTATTTTAAAAATTTTATAGGCATATACATATAGATACACATACGAAGTCATGTTTGTACATCATGAATCATGACACGCAACTATATTCTTTTTTTCTTTTTCTTTTTTTTTTGGGGGTGGGGGGGGACATAAGTCGAGAAAAAGACAACCTATGTAGAACTGAATTGTGGGATTTAAGTTGGAATCCTGGGCCCATTAAGAAAAAAAGGATAAAGAGGAATGAGGAGATAAAATTACCAAAGAAAGTAAAACAGGATGCACACTTTCACTGTATTTTTTTGAACTCTTGTTCTTGTTGACACACACACACATGTTAGCACAATTGTTGCTGTTTTGTTTAAGGCTTCTTTCACGTAACTTTGGCTTTTCCATAACCTTAGCTTTCATATAGTACACCTCAAGTATACTGTTTTTCTCCCGCGCCTAAGGTACGTTTCTTTCATATACTCTGGGCATAAAAGCTTTCTTTATTTTGTACACCATAAAATCATTCCTTTCTTTTGCAAAACCTTAACTTAAAAACTGACCATATAACTCCTCTTTTGAGTAGTTCTTCCGCTTCCCCTTTCTATTTGTTTTATAATATTTTAACTAGGTCTCTTTCTTTGCAATAAGTTTGTTGAAAACTGGAGTTATAGAGGTGATTCTTCTATGGCGTAGTTGAGAAGTATGTCATTTGAAATCATGGTATTTTGGTAGTGATCTTTCTCAATTCCCCTTTGGATATGATGCCTTTTTATGGGTTTTTCTTTTCTTACACAAACAGGCAGAAGAAAAAAACAGAAGAAAAGGAAGGAGCACCAGACAGAAAGAAAAAATTGAAGAGAAAGAGGCTGTATCAGATAAGAAAAGGCTACAGAGAGGAGGGTTGCTCTTTCGTTGTTGATCATAAAAATGGTGGTGCTGGAAGTGTTGCCTCTACGATGTCGTAGAGGATGTCAGATGAAAAAAAGGTGTATCGTTGTAATCATAAAAAGTGGTTATTTTATTGGCCCTTTTCAGTTCATTCGATAGGATGCATGATTACAATTTTTAGAGGCTTTGATTAATTCGATAAATTCATATCCATTGGAATCTGCAAGAGGTACATAACTAATGAAATTACAGTTGATTCTTCCCTCCTTCGGTAGGGTAGAGAAATTGAAGGCCAACATTGAAGGACTCAAGGCATGCTTTGAGTCTATCCAAAACTATTTGAAATATAAAGATCTCTTCAATGAACAATACACCGACAGTTCTCAGTTGATAGAGGTGCCGAATACACTGAGAATTCCTCGACAAGCCAATATCTATGATTTTTCTATACCCAATTATTTCTTTAATCTTGCAAGTTTGTTAGTTTACTGTTATCACCGTGCTTATGTTGCAATTGATATGTTTCTTTTTAGATAATAATAAATTATTTATAATGATCAAATAAAACCTCTTTCTTTTTTCTTCATAAACATCCTTGGACGCAGATGGTGTGAAAAGAATTAAATGGCAATAATTACTAAAAGTATATAAATGTTCCTAATTCTTCACAATCTCAAGCAGGTCGTGTTAGTACTGTGGGTGGCATTTCGAGCACAACAAGTATGATGGAATAATGAAGCTGTGAGATGGTCTTCTGTGCATGATAATCTACAGCATCTTATTGTATGCATTGTGTATATATGTTGTCTGTCTGTGAAGTGCATATTGTTTGTCTTTCCTTCCCTTGTGTTATCTTAATGCAATGCTGGAATAATGAAGTTAAACTGCTTTCGATACATTTATTTTAGGTTTTCTTTTAATGTTTTATCATGGCAGGCTTTCTATTGCAAATATTGTTTTTCATGAGCCTATTATCTTCCAAAACATTCCAAGAATGAACCTATGATTTTACTGCTTGCAGATATGATCTGCATGGTGGAAGAAACCCAATGCATTGATGACCAAAATCACCTTCATTACAGGGCCAAGAAAGCTTAAAATGGTTATGATGGCCTAATTTAAGGCAAAGAAAACCTGATTATCATCGCAATAATAATAATTTTCTATTGGAATCTGTTCTCATGTCTTCCTTGATTCACAACAAAAATGGCACCCAACTTCTGAAAAACAAACATAAATTTGTAGTTGCCCGACTTAGCACCAAGGGGTGCCTCTGTTGTAATGCTCTTCCATGTGTTTCTGTCTCTTGCTTTTCTTGTAATGGGATTGCTATTATATGTCTCAAATCTCTAACAATTACTTCCTTCGAAGAGCCGATCAGACCACCTCCGCTGCTATTACTCATATTTCTATTAACAGTAGTGAAAGAAGAGAGATGAGTAAGAGACGCAAAATTATTACATAAATAAAATGACATTTGCTTCTGTATTTGGCTCTCCAATTCTCTGGGCACTCAATCCCTCAACTGCATCATCTTTCAAGCCTATCAATGGTGGATTAAAATAGCAGTCCCTGCAGGCACTGGTTTTGGTTACGGTTGGCTATCGATCGAGTGTTCTTTAAGGCCACAAAAGTAGGCAACTGCACATTCACATGAAAACAAGGCCAAGAGAGAGTCAGCCATAGGACATAAGGCACATTTACAAGAGGGCAGTCACCTGTTTGTGGTTTTGTTGTTATTGCATTTCTCGATTGTTAAAAACCATAGAATGAAACGCCTTCTTCTGCCATAGCAACAACATTGTTTTATTTGTGGTCTGTGTACATGCGCCTCTTAATTAGTAATTCTTTGACTAGTAATTATTGTTCTCTGACATTGGTAACACTAGTCTTGACGATGTGGAAAGAGCCAGTAATGCGCTAATCGCAATTCGATTGATAAAAAATCTGGCAAACAAAATATTACAATGTCTCATGGAAAGAAATAAAAAGTGTTCCAAAAGCCTTTTAACATTTTAAGTTGGTGGTATTCAAATAAGAATTAACAGCGGCCTACTGCACAAAGAAAAATCACATTCTAGACCCAACAATTGTTCATAATGGAAAAAAGGAAAAAGGCAGTGGCTTAGCGGAGTTTACTGCACAGACATTGCTGGTATGACAAAAGAGAAAGTGAGCTAATTTTGTAATTTGTGTTGAGAAATGTAACCTGTTTGAACGATGATCGTCAAACCTGAACAAGGCTTGATAATCAGCAGTCATGCAATAAAGTATAGTCGTTAGTTCCTGCCTAAAAAGAGAAAGAAATGAAAGCAAAAGGAGCTGGTTGTGAAGCTTGAACATTCCAATGGAAGCATGCTAAATGTTTATGCATGGAAGCAAATGGAGTGGAAAAAAAAAAATTAGGTTTGAACAGGTGATATGCACAATCGCATACACGACAACTGAAAATAACATGGTAGTATGTTAATGAGTGAATGGCTCTAATCCTCCAAACCATCACTTGCGATCTCTAGAGAAGCTGCATTTCTTGTTAAAAAGATCAGAAGAAAAAGATAAAACATGTGTGAGGGGACCTAGGTCTGCTACTTGTAAACCTGTCTATTATGTCTTGTCATATACATGACATAAACAAGAGGGTTTCAAAGCAAGGAAGACAAAATAAAAGAGAATGTAGAACATTTATTAAGCAAATTATATGGACTATTAAGAGAATTATATAAGCCAGTAACAACCAAGAGATCCCATGAACCAATAAAAGAACTAAATAAGCAAGCAATAAAAGCAGAGTCTTAAAAAAGGAAATTCTTAAAAACAAAACATGGGAATCCCACTAATTATCATGGTTAAGAGAATTGAGCGGAAGCGAGTTCACCAGCTAAGCTTGCTTATATAAATCACAACCTGCTTCTGTTGTATAAGACATGATCAAACTAAATTGATCATTATTGATTGAGTTTAACCAAAAGCCTATGGTATTTGCCTTGTTGAAACAATGTAAAGGAAAAGTGATTTATTTATGAAAAAGAATGCAGTTAAATTCCTAATTTGTTCTCTTTGAAATTAGGAACTACTTTGACGGTGTTATTTTGTACAAAGCAAAGACAATAATATTGCACAACATCGTGATAATAAGCACGTGATAATAAGCAAATACGCACTTCAAGCAAGACAACATTGGTTTATAGACTCCAGTCAACTTAAGATCAAATTGCTAAACTAATGAAAATAGCATTGAATTTCCTCTCTACATGTAAAAAGCATCCCAAAGGACCAAAGTGCCTAGTTGGAAGAATTCAAGGCAAAAGATGACCAAATTTGGTGTAAAAAAATATTAAGTCATTCCTGTTGTACTTCGTCTATGGATATCATTTGGAACCTGAGCATTTGAAAGGTTTTAAGAATTCTGTTTGGAACATGGCTCTAAACTATTGATCAAATCTTCCCTCGGAAACCCTATACTAATTTTCCCCTACCCCATCAATGTATTGGACAATACTAAGAGACTCAAAAACGGGCACTCTATTGTGAAAAGAACACGAATCATCTTTTAAGAACTGGGTTCATTTCAAGAAGCAGGGGACTCTTGTCTATCAAGTTTTGTTTCTTGGACTTGTATTTGATCCCCTTCTCTGCCAATATGATCTTCACTCGTTTTGCCCATGAAAATGACCAAAGCTTCCCAGAACAAACAACAATCGCACAAAAATTATTAATCACATGATGAATTTGCTAACACACACAGACAAGAACTAACAGTAAAGGAGATATGGTCAATAATGATGGGAGAACATGAACGAAAAGAGAGAATAGGTTGATAAAAAACACAGATGTGTGCAATCTATGATGATGAATGCAAATACACAACATCACTAGAGATATCAACACACTAAGCATGAAGCACCACATGAAGTTCTCAAGGGTGAAATAAATCCATGCCCAAGCAAGGAGAAAATTGAAAAAAAGGATAAAGAAAACTCGTCTTGTTGGATTCTCTCTTTTTTTCCCCTACAAGTGATGCTGCTGCTGTTTTTCCCTACAACTGCTGCTACTGGTCTCCATGCTCTTATGATGGTAGGTTGGTTGATTCTGTTGGCTGTCAGTGCTGTTGAGGTTGTCATCTATGTCGATTTCAGGTAAGTTTAAAGGTCCCAGTAATACATGTGAATCGTCATTTTATCAGAACTTTTTCAATGACTACTTTTAATTATAGATAGTCCGTCTTAAAAGGAGCCATATCAGATCCCTAAAACCAAAAAAATTATAAAGCGATGATTTGTTACCTGATCAACGTCTCTTATGTGTTAGAGAACAATAACTAAAATGCTGCAAGTACTGACAGATAGCTACGACCTTTGCTAGCGCCTACAATGGAAGGAGCACATACTCTGAGGCTAAATGAAGTCCTGTTGAAAAAAGGAATTCATATAGCATCAATATACAAATTCAAAGGGATATATTAACTTCGTTCCATAATTAACCTAAAGCTTTCCTGTATCAAGAGCAACCTTCAATGTTTTATTCTATAATTAGCAGCATCCTAAAGCTTTCCTTTATCAAGAGTAATCTTCGATGGCTTTCCATTTACTAAATAACCACATCCTGTATGCTATGAAAAATAGCCCTTATCCAAATGAAATAACAGACGATGCACATAATTTATCAGCCTCTATAACCAATTGAAAATCAATATTTATGTGCCCCTCTTTTAGTAAAAGAAATATTTTGTAGATAACGGCAAAGGCAAGCTCCAATTACTAAATCAAAGGAAAAGCAAAGTCATGCAATCCGAGTGAGCAAACATTTTCAGGAAAAAACGAATGCAATCAAGGCAAATAGATAGGTTAGTTAATGGCATTTTCATTTGACTCATACCTAAGCTTGGTTTTTTGAAGTCTATCAACTTTCTTAATTTAATGTCTCCTTGTACACTGAAAAAAAAAAATCTTCAAGAATAGACCTCCCTGCTATCTTTTCTTTTTGGTTGAACCAATTGACCTATGTGAAGATAGAAGAAGGAAAAAAAAAGAGTAAAAGAAGTTACTGATTTTTGCAGTCACTTCAATAAGGAAAGGTTCCATAGCTTTCCATGTGATCTCTTTATTTCTTACTTTTAAACTTAAAATAATGTTAAGAAACTATTGTAACAGCTTGTTGGCTTGGTTGATCAAGCTCATATAATTACATTTCAATGGAGAGAATTATAATCAATCAGTTAAAGTACACATTCAAACACATAAAAGATGACGGGATAAATTATAATCTAAAACTCTTTACTTACTTGGCCATTTTATTGGGATCAACAGTAGAAGTCAACTTTGGAAGCTCAACATCCATGTTATCTTCATCTTTCCCCTCCTCATCTTCTTTATTCTTTCCCTTGCTTCTTGCAGAGCCTAACATGGGTCTCAAAGTAGATGGATTATCAGAGGGATGGATAAAACTGTTGCCTTCTCCACTAAGCTCATCATCATTTTGAGCAGCAATGATACTCTTGGAACCAACAGGAGTAGCAACAACATTTGAAGTTTGAGTGTCATAATCATCTCGGGCAATCAGGGATTCTGGTGGTGATTCTTCTTTTTCCACTCAAATGGATCCTTTGATTACTTTTTTATCCTATTAGTACATTAAATAATGTAAGCCCTGAGCATTTTGTCGAGCACCTTGAGTGCAGAAAAAAAGGTAATTGAAAAGGAACATCAAAGAACTAAGATCTCATATGATATACCCTTTTCTCTTTTCTATCCGACATCCTCTACTCCATTGCAGAAGAATCACGTCTTTTATATAAAAAAAACATTTTTTTTTGAAATATTTTTTAAAGAAGTCAAAAAATAAAAAAAAAATCAAAAATATTTTAGGGCAAGAAACTTGGAGACGGCAAAAAATGGGTTGACGGACTTAGACGTATAAATTGAAAGTTAGAGGATCAAATTAGATGAAATAGCAAAAGTTTAGAACTCAATTGCTGCAATGAAGGGCCTAATTAAAGAAAATAATGAGAGTTTGGGATCAAATTGAAGAAAAATTATTAATATTCTGAACAAGTGAGGTAGTAACGCAAAAATGCCTTTGAGCAATCAAAATCGTGCAATTTGCCAACATACAATTGAGCAATCAAAATCGTGCAATTTGCCAAGTAACATACAACTCCCCTCCCCTCCCCTCCCTAAAGATCTCATGAAACTCTTGTTACCAGAAATTTGTGATGATCGCTGGAATGATTACAAGAAACTGATCTTAAACATGAATCAGAGACTGAGAGCTTGATTGGAATTATGATAACAGTTTAAATATTTTTTATTTAGTAATATATTAAAATAATTTTATTTTTATTTTTTAAAATTATTTTTAATATTTACACGTGGGTATAAAGATATAATTTTTTAAAAAATCAAAATTTTTAAGAACTTCCCGACACACCCTGAGTATGCCACGGGGAAACCTCGAATTTATTTGCTAAAAGGTAGGCTGTTTGGGTTTAGTTGAAATGTTAACAATGGATACATATTTCTTTAGCGTTGTTAAGGCATGATAGTAGATTCTGCAGTGCTAACTGCTAGGACATTTGCAGTGCTATCGAAGATTCACAATACCAAATCACTTGGCGGTTGGTGCGCGCCACAAGCGGTCGTGATAGGTGTAAATGAAATCTAGACATACGAGACGATACCAAACCTTCAGCTTTGACACATACAATTTTCTTTTGCTGAGATACTTCAGCTTAAAAATCTGGTACATAATCTGATAACTTCGTGTACGCAACGGAAATTCATTTGTCAAAACGATGGCAACTCTCACTCTACAACGGCAGAGAATTTACAGCGCCTTTGTTTTCAAGTTTCGAGTTATTCTATTAACTTCTCGACAAGTCAGAGGGATACTTACTATCCCAAGACAAATGACTATACAGATCATGGGGTTTCTATTCACCAGCTGCTCATGACACCTTTGAACAGCACAGAATAATGGCGAGATAACATAAGGAATTGAGCAAAGCCAGCTGAATTGAAGGGAGCCGATAACGATTCCTGCCAGCCAGCCAGCCAGTAATTACAGACGTTGAAGGTTGGGATTTGCGCTTATCCTCCTCCAGCTGCTAGCAGGCATTAATTATGCTATACACGGCACCTACCAACCCCCCCTGCACATACTTCCTCGGACACCATGATACTTTCAATACACAACTTCTTTTATGTCAGTCATGCCTCCAACAGTTTCTAGGTGGATTTTTTCTTGTATTGATTCTGTACAAGGCTCAGAAGGAAATCCGTAAATATATGCTCGTACTCTGGCATTTTCCCGTAACCTGCCATGCCATGTTTCCATGTTAAGACATAAAATGAAAGGAATTGTTGAGCAAGTTTTCAAGATACAACCTATTCTCATATATATATATATATATAAAGCAGAAACAAAGTGAACTTAAGACACAGGAAAATGTTAAAGACGGTTCAAAGAAAGGTTGGAAAACAAATTTTGATGGAAACATCACAAAAAATAAAAGAAAATGTGGACTTGCCTGGGAAGTAGTTAATGTCAATGACATAAAATCGATCTCTGGTCCCATGCTCTCGGATAATATCAAGATTGAACAACCGGAGACCCTGCATGTATTTAACAATCAAAAAACATGATTTATACCAATGAAGAATAGAGAAAATATGAAGTTACCAGTCGATGACAAAGTTCCCTTGCAAGTTTCTCAAGCAATGGTCGTGGAGGAAGCTCTGCAGGAGGAGAAGAATATATTAGAGGAACTTGCCAGAATATTACGCTCAAGACCTCATTGCAGGTTCTCCAGAGCTGAACAGAGTTCAATGGCACAATTGAAGTGTAGAGCAAATCCATCATTTGCAGAATAAAAATTAAAAGAGAAGAAACAGTGGCATTCAATTCTCGCACTAGCTTTGGACCCAGGAATTCAGCATGAGGTACCAAAGAAACAGAATTTCTCGGGGAAAAAGGAGTTTTAATGATCATTGCATCAAAACCACCCAATATCATAATTTGGTTGGTCTCAGAACCAACAACAAATTGCAAATCTCTGCTTGTAACTAGTGGTGAATGCCTCAAAAGCTGGTAAGAAAAATTAACAAAAAGTAGTCATGGGTATGAAAACTCACCAGCAACACCAGGGTCCAAATCAGCATTGTCTGCAGAAGCGGCAGCACAAGAAACACGTGGAAAACGGAACACACCAGCAATGTTTGAAAGCTCTCGTTTACAGACATCAGGTAATGAGAAACGCCTCACCACCTTAATGGTCTCCCCAACAATATAAACTTTAAACATAACACCCCCTAAAACAATGAAAGAAATAGCATTTGCTATGTAAGCTGGTGCCTGAGATGATCATGAACTAACATAAAAACCTCCATGAATACAACTATATACCATGGTTGACAAACTCCTGAAGAACAAGTGGAGGTTCAAGTTTCTGAAGTGATTGTTGATCATAGGCAAGTGATAGTTCGTGTGATTTTGCACTTCCGTCTGCAACCAGTGGCTTTGCAACTGAAACAGATATGAGTATACAAACTCAAGATGGATAACTTAAAAACAGAAAACACAATAAATCACTCTCATGATAAAGAAATCAATACAATCCAATTGACAATTCAAAGCATCAACTACTTGTAATCTACTCTGAAGAAGTTTCCAACTAAATTGATGCATTGCATGCAGCCAAGATACTGACTCAAGTACACTATGAAATGGAATGCAGAAGAAAGAACGCACCGATGGGTAACATCAGCCCAGCTTTTGCAACTGCACCAGGGATAGATGAAGCATCCTTTTTAATAACTAATTGTTTAGGGATACCTACTTTCCCTGCACCATTAAGGGTAAATGATAAATTTCAATCAGCTTTGGGCACTATACTAATCATTGTCAACCTCACATCAAGAACTGTAAGGGTTGCCATTTGAATGTGAAGCTATAGAGATTTGTTCCATCCACACATCCATTAAATAGCATGAGAAATTACCATATGAGTTGGACAAATTCATATCAGCAACACACTGAAGCATAGACTGCCGATTATGTAAATGTTGTATAGCATCAGGAGGATCAAGGACAGTGACTTCAGGATGTGTCCGTCTGTAATCCTGGAATTAAAGGAAATAAATTGGAGATAAGATCACATGTACATCAAATAAATTTCACTGTAGAAGCATGAAGATATAGAAAAACCATAAAGATCCAGAATCACAATATTAGTTATTAAGGATTACATGTTAAGGCGGCAGAAGATTAATGAAATCACAATGTCCACAAATAACATGATCCAGGCCACAATACAATTGAGCAGATTTTGCTAACATTATCAAATCTAATTCTCACATAGAACCTACGACATCTAAATTATGCTGCATCAATATTAAGATCTCTAGTCCAGGCCAGCAAGCAATGCCTTACAAAATGAAAAGTTACAAGTTAACGAATGTTGCTCACTAAAGAATATTTGAATCTTGTAGTTCTAACAACTATAACTTCACCAAAGAATTCTTCAATTCAATTTTGAATATTCATTTCTTCTTTTTTTTTCCAATGTGAAACATAGATAAGGTAAAACAACATAAGTGATCAAATTGCAATTACAATCAATGTCAGAAACATAGATCATAGATGAGAAACAACTTATGAACATCTAAATAAAATACCACACCTACCTTGGCTGACATAGAACAACTGCGCAAACAATTGCAGAGCACACATTAACTAATGAGGGGGGAGATAAGACAAAGGAAGCAAAGTCATCAACTATTGAATCTGAAAGAATGTTGGTAGACATTTTGGAACTTGTGTTTGTCATTGTCACATGCTTTACTCTTTCAACTCGTGCATATTATGAAAGGTACAGCAGATCACAAACCTATGTAGCCTTTAGAGAGTAAAAATCTTTAGAGAGTAAAAATCCTAACAGGAAAATGAAGACATATCCTAATGCTTTCCAAGCCCAAGAAATCATTGATTTTAGAACATAAGAACTTCAACCTAGCTGAGGTCAGAAACTAGTAGCTAAATTCCTGCCACTCTTAGCCAGGGACTGCATCACCAAATTAGAAAGGAAAATAGTTCATACCCCTGCAAATCAGGGATGAGAGTAATGAAGACCAAGAAACAGGTACAATTTTTTTTTAAAAAAAAAAGAGAGGTTTGGGCGTGCCTCCTTACTTACATGTAAGCTAAAAAAATCAAGTTAAAAAATTGACATCTCACTTTCAGCCGATAAAAGGGGTTAAACAGTACAAAAAATGTTTTGCAAATGATGCTTGGAAAACCCAAAAGAATCAGTTATTTGGACATGGAAGCAGAGAATCCTCTCTTGTTGGTCCTGACCTCAATAATAATGTCATGTGATTCATAATGGGGGAATGTGCAAGCACTCTGAAAATTACATCAGATATAAATGAGAATTTAAGCATTTTTAAAGCCTGTGATTCTTGATTGTCCATGATAAAGAACATATCATATGGCATCTAAGATTCAAGTCATCAATCAAGTATGCTTTCACCCTTTCTAGACTATCCAGAAGTAATTCAGGCAAAAATAGAATTAATGATGTCAAAATAGGACCAACCTCAAGAATCTGTCGCCACTCCTTTCCAGTTAGCTGTTGAGAAAAAAATTAAGAAGCTGAAGCATGTCAGTAAAACCAGAAAGTACCAAAATGCAGACATTAATA